CTGTATATACATATGTTAATATCTCATTTTTGCTGTCCTTTTGTTTCACAGGGATTTAATACAGAGCACGAGTGGTCTGAAGAGGAGTTCAACGGCACATCTGTCTCAGCGTCTAGACAACGGAGTCGAGCAAACAAGAGCAGAGAACGTGATTTATTTGACTCCTCGTCCAGGTAAAATCACGAAGGGGAAATACCAAGTTGCATTTAAAGCATAATGTATAAATAACATAAATATATAATTGAAGTCTTAATTTTTTTTAGGTTCTCACCAGAAGGCTGGAAATCTCCCATTATGAAGAGTGTATCTGCAGAGTAAGTTCTTTGTTAATGTTAAATCCTTATACAGTTTAATTTATACAGTACAAAGCCATATGTTTAAGGATCTGAAAGTACTGTAGATGCTTCTAGGAACCTTAAGAACCATGTAAAATATTATCCCCATGAATTTAATAATTTTCATCTGCCGTTCAACAGGGAAGAAGAATTAATGTACCTTGAATTCATTTCTGCTGTAACGGAGGATATATTGTCCAGGGGGCACATCTCTGACAGGTTTGTCATTTTTTATGACAAATTTTTTTTACACTCTGACTATGAACGACAAGACTGTGCTTTATGTTAGCGTTCAAATATTTACAACACTCGTGCGGACCGGATGCCACTTTTCTAATAGCTATGTGTGTCTCTTAATTGAGTATATGCTTAAACAGTTGCTCGTGTCATTGTCTGTGTTTTTGTCCTCTGCAAGGTTCCTAGACTGGGTGATAAAGCGTCATATCGACATGAATCGGCATCAGCTTGATGTGGTGAGTAGCCGATATATGTCAAGTCCTGTTTAAGTGTTAGGGTCACAGCTTTAATTAAAGATTTGAAAACATTTAAAAGGTTATCACAAAGGACTCGTCAATATCTTCTCATGCATCTGATTGCATTGTTTTTGGTTTTAGGGTAAAATGCGCCACCTTCTGGAAGTGCTGCGTAAAGATTTTGAAGAGCCAACCAACATATCCGCCTCTAGTGCAGAGCTTGAAAAAAAGGAGAATGATCTACTTGATTCATTCCTACCACATCTGGAATCAGGAGGGAAACACGTGAAGACCAAAAAGGACAGTGACCTGTTCCCGTATGCATCAGTAATTAAACACTGCGATTCGCCACATTATGCTGATCCCCTGTTAGTGTCTACACCTTTATGCTCTCCTGAATCGACTGCTGCCTCACCAATTAAAGCAAATGAAGACGAAGGAGTTGAGGACAATCGGGGGAGGAGCATTGGCTCTCCTTGGCTCGGTGAGCATGTTTCTGATAATACAGGAATCGGTGAAGAGGACCCTCAAAATCAAATCGGCACAGCTGAGACAAGCAAAGAAGTCAGCAATGAAAACCTTGAATACAACACCATAACCAGTGAAGAAGGATTTCATCGAGACCAAGCTGAAGTCAGTTATGATGGACAATCTAAAGAGCTTGACGATCTGGGGAGAAGTTTGTCAGAGTCGCTTCATGTGTCCAGCAATCAACACCGCGTCATTGTGGAGACGGCCACTGAGCAACATACAAACACCGTCGCCTCCGTCAGTGATGATGAATTCTGAGCGTTGCTGTATTCAGAGATTAAAAAGGTCCTTTAATGTTTTTGTTACCAAGTGAGTATTTTTCTAGAGAGAGATGAATGTGTAGTTTTGTAAATGTGATTTAGCACTAGTTGTGTTTTCCATAAAAGCCCCACCAATATGGTGTTGTAGTTGTGTTCTGCTTTATTATATGTTTTACATAAGCACAATGGAAATTTCATACCAGCAAACAGGGCTTTTGCGAGTACACCAGAGAGACATACTGACCATAGTGGTTGAGCTCTAATTGACCCATAGAGTAATGCGACACATATTTTCTAATTTATGGTAATTAGTATGATTATCAACTTTGCAAAGGATAGGCCACAGCACTATGGCAGAGTATACCCAGTCAGTTTTAAGTATGGTGCAGCTGCTGTTTACATTTCTAGAAAAAACACTTTTGTTGTAAGGAATCTTCCACATGTTTTCAGTGAGTTTGAGTTGACATATGCCTCTGAGATGTAGTGACTAGGAGTTGAGTCACCAGAAAGTGTTCTTACAATTGCAATAAATCTTATATTCTTGTGATTCTTGTATCTGATTATTGAGACTATGTAACAAACTGATTATTATTCAACCTGCAGCCATTATTAGCATTACAGGAATGTGACTTAAGCCATTTTGCAATCAATTAGGGACTTAGGAGAGAGGGAAATTGGTTTCTCCCACCCCTACCTTCGCCTAATTGGACCTCATGCCCCACCATAACCATCCATTGGATGCGCTGCATGCATTACAAAAGTGACTCAAGTAATATTAACTTGGCAAATGCATTGTTGACGGAAGAAGTGGATGTAGCCGGTACCGCTGACTCATCAGGAGTGGGCCCTTGATATGCTCTTGGTGGACAACCAAAATACCTACATCATGGCGCAGCCTTCAGAGGATGCAGGGGCTGAATTGAGACTTAGTGTCTCTGTTCGTCTTTGCCATCGACAGTGTTGCTGATCCTTTAGAATAACTTTCCTCTAGAATATATGCAATGTATGTGCATAGCTCTATATACAGTATGAAGGTGCATACATTACATGACTCAGGTCATCTTTTCTTGGTGAAAGTGGTTCTGTTACGACCATCCCAGGTCTCCCGTACACATTTTCCTATATGTGGCACCCCCTATTGGTTGGGCTCAAAATGGTAGACTTTGGTAGACTTATTTTTAAGGAATGTCTGAAGATATTTACCAAGATTTATGAAGATTGGACAAAGCATTAATGATTTATTTCCAATTTCCTGCTAAATTATCCATTATATTTTAAGCTATACTGCTAAATCCTCCTAAATGTTACTTACACCTTGTTGCATCAGTATCAACAACCTAATAGATCAGTTACAGTGAACATTTTCTATATGTACTTTGTATATTTTGTTGATAATTTATCTGTACTGTTACTGAAGCAACAATTTGAATGCAGAACTTTTATTTGTTCATTGTAATAATTGTGTTTTTAATTAAGTTAAGGATCTAAGTACCATCTCCGTTCAGAAATAGAACAGAATACATCATCGAATGGAGGGTTTGATTCAACCTATAATCACTTAGTTTAGAAAGGCAGACATATTATTTTTTCCCTTTCCAAATCCATTGATTTGCTGTTACAATTATTAAAAAACTGTTAAAAGGCTACACAATAGGGTATTGTGTAGCCTTGATTGTGTGCCATTTGTCTTCAGTGAAATAGTGTTTAATCATTCAATCATGGAATCAAAGTTGAAATTGAATACAATGTATTGTTCATGACCCAAGATTTCTCATGAATATGTGATTATTGAAACACATATACCCTCTCACTTACAAACTGAACTATTCCAAGGTCTGAAGAATTCCCCTGCTATGAAAGGTATCCGAATATTTAAAATCACACCACATTGTAAAGATGGAGGATCATCTTAGGTAAACAGAAACTTAGCGATTGACACTTGCTCCTCAGGTGTATTTTTATGATATTTATTTAGAAAACGACTAATGGACAGATAAGAGAATATGATTTTCTCTGATAAAGATGGGCCTGTCTGGGCAACAATGGCGCTAACCTCACACACATTAATGTCCCCAATTTCTCTATTATTTGCTCCATTATCAGTATGTGTAGACACCTAGTTTTTTTTTCCAACCCTGTAATGTTTTATTCTATTCAGATCTGCACATGATTTCACAAACATTTCAATTTTAATCAGATTAATGGCTTTTCTTTCCTGTCTCTTAATCGTCTCTTCACAGTTGTGCTATCTTTGGAGTGATACACAAAAGACAGCAATAGCATATAGTAGCCTCATAGCAAGCTGATTAATTGTCATGAATTGGAAATATCTAAAAAACAACTCCGCTTCAAAATACCTGGATTGATATTTGTCTATTTACTTTTATTTACTATTTAAGTACATCATTTCAATCTACTTTTTTATATTACAATCAACAGTGCACACGTCTTATTATTATTTTTATACTTACGCTCTGCTCTGAGGTTATGTTGTGTGTTTCATGACATTAATTTGTGTTTCCTCTTTCCTATCTTGCCATCTGTCCTCTAGTTTCAGATCACTTCATTTCCTGCCTTTCTGTGTTTTCCCACCAGTTTTGTCTGCCCCACCCTGATTAGTTTCACCTGTCACCAGACCTCCTGCTCACCTCTTCCCACGTCCCCATTCATCACTCCCTATTTAAACCCAGTTCCTTTGTCGGTTCATCTTTTGTTGCTGCATGGAGCTTTGTTTGCATGTTACCTTACCTTCCTGCATCTTGAATTCTCAGTTTGTAAGCATTTTGTTTAATAAATTGCTTGTGTGCACCGTGAGGTACATTGTGGCAGTTGTGTATGAATACAATTTAGAGATAATAGTGATTTGTAGACGTGATGTTTAGTAAAAGACCAACATTTGATTTTCCATAAATGTGTGACTCGCTTAATGTGAGCGGGGTTTCTATGTAAATGTGTATTGTGTTTTCTTTCCACTAGTCTGAAAGAAGACATGTTATGGTAGCCCACAGCCCAATACTTCAAAATTGCTCAGTCCATGAAAAACAATGTTTTTGCCTGAGGTGTCTCCCCTTAAAGGATGATTGACATTTTATTAGGCGGATATGAATTGAGCATGCCTCTATGAAAAATAAACTACAAACATCAAGATTAATTTTAAACAAGCATATATAAAACAAACATCAAAGAAAGAGACAAATATATATCACAAATCATATAAATCATGGAAAGAAAAACAATTATAAACTACTATATGGAAAAATACATAGCGAAAGAAGAAAAACAGAAAAATAGTAACTAATAGCAATATATTGCTATCCTTGCTAAGCACAGGAAGAACACATACAATTCCTCCTATCCATACTGTCCTTGTAGTGTGCAAAAATGTTTAAATGTTCAGCTTAGCCAAATCAGTTATCTTCATTCTGGTTAATGCGTGTAGACTTTTTGCTGGTGTTGTGTCCCGGCTACAAACCTGCATTGCAACTACCAGAAAATATCAAGCAAGCAAGTGTGGAGAATTTCAGTATTAAACGCATTATTAGTAGGATTTAATAACACCCCTAGTGGTGAGTAGAAGTGTTACAATAATAAATATGTTAGTCACAATATGTTTCCATATGGAATGTATTATAGGTTTACAATATTCTTACATATAGAGGATATTATGTTACAGTATATTAACTCATTGAATGTATTAAATCATAGAAGTATAGTCACTGTAGGTATTAAAACACTAAGAATAGTTTTGAGGGTCAGATAGGGATTCTGAGTGAGGTGTCAGACATGCAGCAGCATTACTATTAATAGTTAATTCAGTTTATAAGTGAACTTTGTGTAGTACATTAAATATTGTTTTAATTTGAACCGGATCTAGCTCATTCTTCTGATGCGCGTGCGCATCAGAAGAGTACCTGCGGCCTGCAGGCTCCTTCATCCTTTGTTCTTAAAAACCTAACACAAGCAAGCAAACACGGGAGGCATTTTGTGCCAAAAAAAAGACCAACTCGAACTGCTGAAGCTTCATAGTTTAACTTGCATATGACATGTTATGTGATAAATCCAAACCTATCTTTAAAATATTGCTTCGAAAGAAAAGTAACCTCAGTGAACACAAAGGTAGACCTAAACAATTTCAGTACCACAGGTACTTGAGTCGTCTGTCAAGACAATATGAAACGGTGTTTGACTCCACACACATCTTTCAAACATACTCCCTCTCTTTATCACTACTCACTCTGGTCCTGAAGTGACTGTGTGATGCAGAAGAGATGGATTCGCTGGCTATATATATATATATATATATATATATATATATATATATATATATATAGCTCAGTGGTAGATATCTGTGTTGTGAATGTCTAAATTTCTCATCTTCTCATCTGGCCAGATGCAGCAGCTGTGGAACTGAAAACCCTGTCAGGACGTCCACCATCAGGACACTAGTAACTGTGGGAAAGAGAAGCAAACTGGAACTACATTATTGTTGTGAAGACGTATTTAATATTAACTATGGATTCACAGTCTACATTTAGTCCCTTTCATTCTGTTTTTAATGTTTTTTTCAACCACATTAGGCTATATTAAATAAATGGATACATTTAAACCCAAATTAGAGTTGAAACCTATGAATTAAAAACACAGAAGTGAGACCGTGTTGTATACAAATAAGATACAGAGGATAACTCATTAGTCATTGCAAAATATTCTGTGTTTGCGATTACAGCTGTCAGTCAATGTAAAAGGTAAAAAGACAGGTCAGCGACCAGCAGCTAGCTCCAGGGCAGCTGTCCCATTTCTGGCATTTTCACCGCTCGGCATTCCAGCTGTCTGATGTCATGTCTCTGAAAACCTCCATGTATTCCTCCGCCATGGCGGAACTATACTGCATTTTGATGCTTATGCCCCGAAAGAAGTACAGTAAACCAAACATTTTGTACGCAGTAATTGAAAAGACAGAGTGCATTCCAATTTAATTTGGTGATTTTTCAATTGCTGAAGCTCAGTTATTGGAGCTATAGAGCCGCGGATGTAGACGGAATACGCTTGTTGCTCTTCCAATCCCAGGAAGCGAAACACGCTCGGAACTTGAGTGAAGTGTCGGACCAAGAGGCATGGGTCGCTAAGTTAGTCTGGATCCACAAACAAACTACAGACCAATGGGCTGTCTCCACTTTTGAAAATATCTCCAAATTTATGGTAATCCATTGACCTTGATGGCGGAAAATCCCCCTGGACCGAATCTTAGTTGGACTACAAAATTGAATCTTGATGGCTAACGGTAACGTTAACGATTTTAACCCAACAATATTTACCGGCTACGTCAGCTTCCCAAGGGTGTCGTCTATTTGCTGGAACATATGTTAGCACAACTAGCGTTGAAGCTAATTTAGCGCTGGTTGTTTTTAACGGTTAAAAGTTAAAGGATTCACTAAAGCTTCCACTGAAGGGTTAGCTAGTTAGGCCGGGACATGTCACACATCTAAGGAATAACTTTAAGTTAAGTTACGATAAGTTATTTCATGGTGTAACGTATATATACATTGTAATAAAATGGATGCATGTTGGAGATGGAGAGCAGCAGGGATTTTTAACGTTAGCTCGCAACGTACTGTAACAGATCAGGTCAGTGTTTGGCTCAGACTATCCGCTGGAGGGGGATTCATCTGACCACAACCGTTGAACATGGCTTGTAATCCGTGTTATAGACAACGCTAATTACACAGATTAGATAACCTACTAGCAATTGCTGCCAAATCCATAGATTTGCTTTTAACGTGTGTTTTTTTCAGAGTGTTTACTTTTAGAAAAGTTGTAATGCTTTGGCATTTAAAACAAAAATGCCACATTTAAGAGGATTAACGTTACTTTAAGTGTTTGTCTGGTCTGGCGTCTGTTCCAGGGGGTCAGACTAAGATTATATTTAAGTACCGTAACATATTCTATAGTGATCAGTAGTCACCCTGTTTTTTATCAACCCCCTTTTTCCAAGTTTGCAATTTCATGCTTTCATGTGAATTGTAGTGTTTTTGGAGATGCACTGAGATGTTTCCTGTCTCGTTTCTTTTCTTCAGATCTGTCTGTCTGATGATGAACCCAGTGGCCTGTAACGTTCACGCAGTATTCGAAGGGGGACAGCAAGGAGAAGACTTTCCCCGGACTAAGTGAAGACCTCCCTCCTTGAAGAAGTGTGAAACATGCCCTTGCCATTTGGCTTAAAACTCAAAAGGACTCGAAGGTATACTGTTTCAAGCAAGAGCTGTCTTGTCACTCGGATCCAGCTGCTCAATGGAGAGTTTGTTGAGTTTACACTTTCGGTGGAGAGCACCGGGCAGGAATGTTTGGAGGCAGTTGCTCAGAGACTCGAGTTGAGAGAGGTATGTATGTATTTCCATGCAATACAAGTGCTGATTGTTCTCTCTTTTGGAGCTTTTCTTAACTCACCACAGAGACACGGTTATCTTTTGGTCACATTCTTACTAGGAACTGAGAAACGGGACTACAGAAACCAAAATTACCAGTTTTACACTGTCTCATAATAATATATCGTCGCAATTATGTAATATAATCTCTCATAATCTCTGTCCCGTTTATGACATGATTAAGGAATTTGTGAATCGCATACTTTACATTAGTAAATGCATGTATGTAACCAACTCATCATGCAGATTAGCAAACATACTATGCACGTTTTGAAACGTTCAAGTGTCAGCTCTCGCAGAGCATGGACAATATGGTCGAGAAAAGTAGTTCTGAGTCAGGATCGAATAATGCACCGAGCTTCACGTCCGCATTTGGTCGCCGTGGTGAAAACCACCTGTCGGACACGAGCTGAAAGAGATGCTGTCATTTCCAGTTGCTCCTCAAAGCAACAGTTAAAGACTGCTGAATATACAGGCGATCTGGCCGGATCTGAACTTGCACGACATGACTGTTGTGCTGCGCGATGCCTCCACCCTCATTTATAGTTCTTGTATGCACAGGGTAAACAACGTATTGTTTGTTTCTGATGCCACAGGGGTTGTTTGCAATCTACGTTCAAAGCAACTAGATCCCCTAACTTTTGTCTTATTTCTGTCTACATTATTATAAAATATAAACACCAGAGAAATGTTTATATAATATTTATTCATAGTTGCTAACCAATTCGGTCTACTGCTGAACAGTCATGTTATGTTCTACTTGTGGTTAGAGTGTGGCTGCACAACACAACGGGTCTCTTTCCGCTAAGTTGTCTTTGATAAACAGCGAGCCCGGGGGTTACTTTTCTTCCCAGTGTTCATTGTGAGATGTTCAGACGGTCACAAGATGGAGCAGGGAGCCGCCAACCGCCCATAAATCTAGAGGAGTGTGTCGTGGTTGAGTTTTCAGGTCTACATGTGTTTTGAATGTTATGTAGGAGAAGACCTACAGATTTGTGCACAAAACAGGAGATGTGTGACTTCAAGCAGTTCCATAATCTTGTTCTAAAGTTGGATATGTCCTATGTGTAAACATGCATTCCTTCTCGTTTTCTACATATTGTAAAACCTAAATTGTTGTGCAAGATATTCTAGTCGTCTTAAAATGTCCTCGCTCGCTCGCGGTGCTTGTTCGGGTGTAACGTTTGTGCTTCTGTTCTCTGCTTGTTAGATAACCTACTTCAGCCTGTGGTACTTCAACAAGCAGAACCAGCAGAGATGGATAGACTTGGAGAAGCCGCTGAAGAAGCAGCTGGACAAGTACGGGCTGGAGCCCAGCGTTTACTTTGGAGTCGTGTTTTACATACCCGGCATCAACCAGCTGCAACAGGAGATCACAAGGTGAGGTTCCATCAGTGACAGTGTCCTGTCTAAGCCTAGTTTTTGTGTCTTTAAATATGTCCCTACGTTATTTTAATAGTGCCGCACTTGAGAAGGTTTGCTCTGTAATGACCTTTTTCAGCCATTTCTGCAAACCTGAATGAAGTCACCATATTTGGTTGTTGGCTGCTTGTGTATGCGCCACTCATAAGTAACCCCGTCTTTCTCCACAGATATCAGTATTACCTACAGCTGAAGAAGGATGTTCTGGAGGGCAGGATCTCGTGCTCACTGGAACAAGCTATTCGTTTAGCTAGCCTGGCAGTGCAAGGTAATATGAATGTATAATACGAGCTGTGCAAAGTGTTTCTTGGCAATAATAAACTCCAATACGCCTATTGATTCTCAAACCGTTACCTTTCAATCTCCACCAGTGCAACAGCATTTCTTTTCTTGCATCCAAACTCTGTTAATTCTCAAAAACACAGCTACAAAAATGGGTCTGCTGAGCAGACCCAGGTTTGTCTCAAACCTTTGTTCAATCACTGATCCAAAGGTTTCTAAGAACAATTTCATGATTCTTGTAATATGCAGCTCTTAACAACGCACCATTAAATGTAAACTAGCCTGTTAAATTAGTCACGGGTGTGTTTGTGTGTGTTTGTGAACTCCCCTTGCATGAGCTGCAGCCCTGACACGTCCTCCAACTTTTGCCTAGCGAGAAGAATCTCAAACACTGCTGGCAAAGTTATATCAGGCGCTGCAACCTACTGGCCTGGGTGTTAGCATAGCAGAGCCGCTGAGATCACTTACTGCTGCAGCCGTGTTCAAAGCACTGACCAGCATGCAATGTGTGCATTTGAAGAAAATCCCGAATAAACTCCGTGCAGGTTCCCTTAAAGATTTAGTCCCTGCTTAAGTTGTCATGCAGACTTGTGATTGTGCTGTCAGGTGGTTTCCTAATTTATGTCCCTGGCTCGGATATTTTAGAGTGAAGGGTGGTTGTAGCTTGATGCCTGGGATACCCGACATAGTTCTGAATGTTACCAGCAGGCCGGTAACTGTTTTGGCCCTCTACGTTGTCAGACACTGAAGCAATTCCCTTTCCTAACAAACGGGGCCCCTCCTCTCCTAAAATTAGTCCATCGTGTCATCGTGCACCGCAGCTTTCCAAAAGGCATTGCACCATTCTGCAACTCTTACACGTCTGTTTAGCCTTGTGCTAAATGCAGAAATGGACGTGTAATAGAGTTTATTCAGAGAGTAGTGTCATTGCTGTATTAACTCATTTAGTGTGTCCTTTTTTTTTTTTTTTCTCTCCACAGCTGACTTTGGAGACTTCAACCGATATGATTCCCAAGAGTTCCTCCAGAAGTTTGCGCTCTTCCCTATTGTAAGCGTTTTTATTTTGTGTGGTCAACATGTCAAATGAAAGACGTTGCTGTCCTGTGCTCATTTGTGTTTTAACACCAGCGTGGTATCGATTCCCGACTCTTGTCTTTGCAGGACTGGATCCAGGATGAGCGAGTGCTGGAGGAGGCCACTCAGAAAGTGGCCCTTCATTATCAGTCCTTCAGGTGAGCAGGTGTCCTCAATGTCCGTCCTCAGCATCCATCTGCCTGTTCTTTGTGTGTGGATCAACAGACGAATCGCTTTTGCGTACTGCACAGACAAACACAATCTACCTTTTTAATTACCTGTCATCATCTGGATTCACGTAGAATCTCTCTGAGGCCATGTATAAGCCATCTCTTGTGATTTACACTTGCACCAGACCCTTTTTTTAGTCACTCTGTCCTCAACATTTAGTCCAAAAGATAGCTGTTTCTCATCACTCCATCTGTCCCATTTCATTTACAACTTGTAACCACTATAACAAATTGGTGATGCATTGCTGTGCTTTGTCAGTGTTCGTGTCTTGTTTATATGTCGGATCAGTGGGTTTTGACGGTTGTTTCGTCATGTTTTTGTTGCCATTTTTGTCTCCTTTTTTTTTTTAGGGGTTTATCAGCCCCAGAGGCAGAGATGTTGTACATGCAGGAGGTGGAGAAAATGGAAGGTTATGGCCAGGAAAGCTATCAAGCCAAGGTAAGTTTACAGGGTCTCGCCCAAACGTCGAAGAAGTATCACGTGGGCTTACTAGAATCTGAATCCGTAAGTCTGTATTCTTTCACCCAAAAGCCTGTTCTGAAACTCCTCTCCGTTAATCTCAACAGGACAGTACAGGTGCAGATGTTTCCATGGGATCCTGCCTCGATGGCATCTTTGTCAAGCATAAAAATGGCAGGCCGCTTTCATTTAGGTACGTCTGGAAGCAAATTGGAGAAGAAGTGTGCATTCTTGACCTTTTTGTTGAATTGCTCTCAATCTGCATACTATTATGAGTTCTAGATATCTTTTTGATCGACTCCTACGTGTGTTTTTTTATTATTCATTGTTAAAGCAGTGCCACAGTCTCTTTAAAGAAAAAAAAAAATGCTGCACGGTTTTGTGGCCGTCATGACATCATGTGTTTTTCCTCTCTTCTCTCTGCCCCCGCGCTGTAATTGGCTGTGTAGGTGGAATGAAATTAACAACATGAGTCACAACAGGTCCTTCTTTGTCCTGGAGCTAGCCAACAGAGAGGAGAGTGTCCAGTTCCAGACCGTAAGTCTCTGCCACCAATGCACCTCCGTCTCTCCACCCGTCCCCTTTCGAAAATTTCAGTTTGTTATTGGATTTAGCAAAAAATGTGGGTGTGGCTGTAACTGGTAGTTGTTTGGCTATGTTACGTATGTCACATACCATTAGCCGAAACTCAACGTAGAGGTATTTGAGGGCACACACAGGATTGGCTTTGCTTCGAGATTACTAAGCAAACAACACCTCTGTTCTAATTCTCACCCACCCTCTCATGAGTTTTCTTCTCCTTTTTTTTTTTTTTTGTGTAGGAAGACATGGAAACCTCCAAATATGTGTGCCGGATGTGTCTGGCCAGACTCAAGTTTTATAAGATTAACAAGAGTAGCCTGTAAGTGTTTTTATTTTTTTTTACATGTCTAGTCTAGATCCTGTCTCTTTGTTCCTCCTCGTCTCGTACATGTGTCTCCTCTTTGGTGTAGCCTCACTCCTCTCCTCCTCTCTCTTCAGAGAGGAGTGTGACCCCCTGCCTTCTGAGGGCTCCCAGAAGTCCCTTCTCACTCTATCCTTTCCTCGCTTTCCAATGCTCTCTCGTCCCTCTCTGCCTTCTAATAAGGGGTGAGCAACACTAGTATCAGCCACCGCCTACAGTGTGGCTATCAAGCAGGTGCCAACACCCACCCGTCCCTCATTGCATAGCCAACCTTTCACAGCAAACATGCTCTCTACTGTATGTATGAAATGGGCCCTGGGTGGTGAAGCATGTAGTGACTTTTCATCCAAGTAAAAGAAAGCTAATATTTGATTTACTAGTTATTGTTGTGTGTGATTGGGCCAGAGAAAGAATAGCCGGGGATCATAATCAATGAAATTAAAGCAGTAAAATCCACAGGGATCTTTATTCTCAGCACTATTTGCACCATAAAGATGAGAAAACCTCTATTTTTACAGTATCTGTTATAGTAATTCATTACTCTAGCTTTCATCAGATATTTCCAGATCTATGTCTCAGTTTTCTCTATATTTTTTTAGAAGTTTACTGTGTTTTGTTAAATGCAAGTCAATCAAAATGTGAAACACATTGCACAACCCTTCTCCATTACACCATGCTTGCTGGAGTCCTCAAGGACAAATGTTGCTTATTGTACTGGAGAAGAGTTGAGCAACGTGTTTTTTAGTTTGATGGATTTGTCCTGGTGTGCACTTTGCTGTGTTTTCAAAGTTTAAATGTCAAAAGGACAAAGTAAGAGACAATGCTTGAGAGAAGCATTGTAAGTAGCCGTGCTTTCGGTTTAGGTTCGCCTTTTCTGACCGACATTTGTTTTCCCACCAGCCAAACGCAGCCTGCCGTGGTTAACCCAGTCAGACGGAGGTCCTCTACTAGAATATCTCTGGTAATGACCTCACTCACAAACACACAATCACATCTTGTGTGCTTGTATAATTCCCTAGATGATTTTCTGGTTTTGCATTTCAACACACAATGTATATTTAAATCATTATCTATGGGAGCATTCGCACACAGTTCTGTTTAATTCTTTGCTCTTGGACAGTATTCAGATCACATGAGCCGTAACTGAATCCCTCTCTTGTTGATTTACAGCCAAAGCCTCAGGCCTACATGATGCCCCCGCCACAAATGCACTACAATGGTCATTTCACAGAGCCTTACACATCATCGCAAGGTAACTTAGAGATGGGCTTGCGACTATAGGAACCTGATAATTAGTGCATGGGATGACATTTAAAGTTATTACTGTCCTCAGCTAAATGTTGACGGTGAATTGTTAGTAATTCTAATCCATTGTCGACTTCAGGATGTCTTGTTTATTTGCTCTCCCACAGACAACCTGTACATGAACAGTCAGAACGGTTATTACTACCATTCCCAGACCAGCCTGGACTGCTCTCCTCTGGAATACAACAGTGGAGGGCGTTTACGTAACGGCAGTGTGTACAGCGCCCACAGTACCAGCTCCCTAACCAATCCCCAGCACTACCATCAGCCCTCTCCCATGTCCTCCAACCCCTCTATTACTAGCGACATCACCAGGCCGGACTATGTCCCCTCGCATCGCCACAGCGCTCTTATCCCGCCTTCCTACCGGGCCACGCCTGACTATGAGACAGTGATGCGTCAGAAGACCCGGGGAGCAGGAGGAGGGATGCTTTTGTCTCAAGAGCACCGGCAGAGCCACTCCATGAGGAACCTGAATATCGGAAACTCGTACGCCTACCGCAGGCCAGACCACCTAGTTTACAGCCAGCCAGAGATCAGAGGGGAGCACGGTGGAGCCGCCCAACACCATCACTATCCCTTCCATCTCGGCTCCAGCTTCCACAGCCCTTCTCCATATCCCTACCCTACAGAGAGGAGGCCCGTAGTGGGGGCCGTTAGTGTCCCGGAGCTCACAAACGTCCAGTTACAACAGGCACAGTATCCAGAGTATCCGGCTCCTAACATCATGAGAACGCACGTGTACCGACCACCTCCGCCCTACCCGTACGCCCACCCTCGACCTGCCAACAGCACGCCGGACCTGTCGCGTCACCTGTACGTCAGCAGCAGCAACCCAGACCTGATCATCACGAGGCGAGTGCATCACTCAGTCCAGACATTCCAAGAGGACAGCCTGCCTGTTGCCCACTCGTTACAAGAGGTGTCGGAGCCTCTTTTCAGCGGACCCCCACAGAGACAGCCGTACCACGCTCAGAAGCGAAACTCCATCGAGATTGCCGGATTGGCGCATAGTCTCGAGGGGATGAGGGTCAAAGAGCGCTCCGTGTCTTCTTCAGCAGCTGAAGCTGCCACGCCTCCTCCGGTCCTGCGCGGCGGTCGCTCCCAGGGCTCTCAGCTCAACGTGTTTTTGGAACGTACAAAGGCAGAGGACAGGAGTGACGTGCAGTATGGACACAAAAAGTCCCTTTCAGATGCCACCATGCTGGTTCACAGTAGCGGTGAAGAAGAGGAGTTTGAGGAAGATACCGGGCGTCATGTTCCCCTTTCTCAGGACGCAATGGCAGCGGCTGATCCCGACCAACCGCACCAAAGCTTGACGTCTCTCTCTTCTCTGACGCAACGCACTCCCATAGAGCCGCCTCCCGCATATCCCATAGGCTCCTCTCTTGACCCCTCCATAACCAGTTCCTTGACTTACACGGTTCACCCTCTGATCCAGGAGAGCGAGCCTCTGTACTTGCTGTCAGATTTACGGCAGCCCAGGATTATGCCCTCGGTCTCTGAGGGAGACCTGAGTGGCCAGGCCAAGCAGAAGACTAAGAAAGACTTGAAAAAGAGGCCCGTGTCTGATGTGCCTCCTGGGAAGAAAACAGTAGAAGGGTTGCCCCCTCCGGTGAGTCCTGTTCCCAATTACATTACATCATTAGCATAGTGCAGTAGTTAATAAACATTTAGAAATGGAGGTACTTCTCCATGCTACCTCCTGAGATGTTAGTTGCGCTGTAATACTTTAGAGAACCCTGTTCCAGAAAGAAGAAAAGAATGGCCCCCACTGCACATTATCAGTATTTTCTTTAAAAGTGGGTTGTAGCTATGGTTTATTTCATGTGTGAGCCTCATGTCTGGATCACATGAGTATGCATGTACCTAGTAATGAAAGTGGTTTCATTGCCCGGCTTCGAATGACACATTGAAAGTATGTAGTCAGAAAACCGGAGCGGCGACATTCCCTCGCTAAACACCCAGCGAGGCTGCCGCGTCCCGCCCCTCCTGGAGACTTACTTCCTCACTGCCAAGGCTCACGCACACACTCGCCCTCACTCACTGTTTCTCTGTCTACTCTGTTGTCACACCAGGGTATGAAGAAAGGAACTCGGTCAGAGGTGAAGAAGATGGGCCCTCTGAAGGTGGCACATCTCAACGGACTGTCGGTTTCCAGGCAGCCAATGAGCGAAGCGGTCAAGGATGAGCCCGAGAGAGCCTCCAATGACGAGAGGGTAGGACACTTATGAGTCTTTGACAGTTGCTGCTTGACAGATGGGTTTGTGAAGCCAAAAAACTAATGAAAATGTTTAGTTTCGGTCAACGGAAACTTTTGAGATGTGAGATTTGTTACGTGTTGCTTGTGTATTGGGAATGAAAGTCTCAGTCGACGATCTGGTTGCAGACGTTAACGTGTAGCTGAACTGGTCAGCGTTGTTAATCTTGATGTTAGCTGCTTTGGCAATGACGGTAAATTCCAGACACATAAATACATAATTTGCTTTTTTTTTTCTTTTTTTTTTTAAGGAGCAGATCAGTTAATCAAACAGATTGAATAAAATATTTGGTGTATCCTGCTGCAACACCATTCACTACTAAAGACTAGGTCCTCTCTTCTGCAGTGATAGAAAGTAAAACTTAAACCTAATAACTGGTTGGGCCACCCTTAGCAGCAACAACTGCAATCAAGCGTTTGCGATAACTGGCAATGAGTCATTTACAACGTTGTAGAGGAATTTTGGCCCACTCATCTTTGCAGAATTGTTGTAATTCAGCCACATTGGAGGGTTTTCGAGCATGAACCGCCTTTTTAAGGTCATGCCACAGCATCTCAATCGGATTCAGGTCGGGACTTTGACTAGGCCACTCCAAAGTCTTCATTTTGTTTTTCTTAAGCCATTCAGAGGTGGACTTGCTGGTGTGTTTTGGATCATTGTCCTGCTGCAGAACCCAAGTGCGCTTCAGCTTGAGGTCACAAACAGATGGCCGGACATTCTCCTTCAGGATTTTTTGGTAGACAGCAAAATTCATGGTTCCATTTACCACAGCAAGTCTTCCAGGTCCTGAAGCAGCAAAACAGCCCCAGACCATCACACTACCACCACCATATTTTACTGTTGGTATGATGTTCCTTTTCTGAAATGGCGTGTTACTTTTACGCCAGATGTAATGGGACATACACCTTCCAAAAAGTTCAACTTTTGTCTCGTCAGTCCACAGAGTATTTTCCCAAAAGTCTTGGGGATCATCAAGATGTTTTCTGGCAAAACTGAGACGAGCCTTTATGTTCTTTTTGCTCAGCAGTGGTTTTCGTCTTGGAACTCTGCCATGCAGGCCATTTTTGCCCAGTCTCTTTCTTATGGTGGAGTCATGAACACTGACCTTAATTGAGGCAAGTGAGGCCTGTAGTTCTTTGGATGTTGTTCTGGGGTCTTTTGTGACCTCTTGGATGAGTCGTCGCTGCGCTCTTGGGGTAATTTTGGTCGGCCGGCCACTCCTGGGAAGGTTCACCACTGTTCCATGTTTTCGCCATTTGTGGATAATGGCTCTCACTGTGGTTCGCTGGAGTCCCAAAGCTTTAGAAATAGCTTTGTAACCTTTTCCAGACTGATAGATCTCAATTACTTTGTTTCTCATTTGTTCTTGAATTTCTTTGGATCGCAGCATGATGTCTAGCTTTTGAGGATCTTTTGGTCTACCTCACTTTGTCAGGCAGGTCCTATTTAAGTGATTTCTTGATTGAGAACAGGTGTGGCAGTAATCAGGCCTGGGTGTGGCTAGAGAAATTGAACTCAGCTTTCCAAAGATGTGATAAACCACAGTTAATTTATGTTTTAACAGGGGGGGGCAATCACTTTTTCACACAGGGCCATGTAGGTTTGGATTTTTTTTTTTCCCTTAATAATAATAACCTTCATTTAAAAACTGCATTTTGTGTTTACTTGTGTTATCTTTGGCTAATATTTAAATTTGTTTGATCTGAAACATTTAAGTGCGACAAACATGCAAAAAAATAAGAAATCAGGAAGGGGGCAAACACTTTTTCACACAACTGTATATCTGTCCTGCAAGTGTTTGTTAATGATGAAAATATCAGGGAATGCTGACGTCACGTCATTTTATGTATTTATCAAATTAAATAGATTTAACTAGAGTTAACTTGTTCATGCGTCAGGACTACACTATCCGTGGTAGTGAGGTGTTTCCTTGTTGTGTTAGTGTAAAATTCTAGAGCATCATATGGAGAGGGGAGAGCTGTTGAAAGAGTACGAGAGCATCCCAAAGCGTCGTCCCGCAGGAGGGTGCACCATCGCCCAGCTGCCAGAGAGCGGAGATAAAAACCGCTTCCAGGACGTCCTGCCTTATGATGACACCCGAGTGGAGCTGGTTCCCACTAAAGAGAACAACACGGGATACATTAATGCATCACACGTTAGAGTAAGTTGTGCAGAGATGTATCATAATCCTTAATTCTTGGCAAATTACCTTGATGACAGTGCTCATGACTTTGGCATTTGCTGAAAATGCAGTTTTTCCTTTCCTTTGGTTATTTCTGTGAATTTAGGGTTGGGCAATAATGACAAAATCCAATGTGCACCACAAAGCGAAAAACCACGTTACAGCTTCCCAAAATACACTAATGGAAAACTCTTTAATACTCCTGTTGTAGAAGGCATGCTACTCATAAGGGTGGGGTGGGTCAATAACGGCTGCTTATTCACATTCACTCCTTCACCATCAAGTCTGAGACAATAGAAGTACTCTGCTGCTACTCTTTCTGCAATACTGAATAGCTAAAAGAAGAATCTCCTTGTCTCATTAGATAACAGTAGGTGGACAGGACTGGAGCTACATTGCCTCGCAGGGTCCCCTGTCGAACACATGTCAAGACTTCTGGCAGATGGTGTGGGAACAGGGTGTCTCCATCATCGCGATGGTCACCGCTGAAGAGGTGCGTTGATTTTTTTCCTATTTACAGCTTGACATATTTCATTCCTCGTCATTACCTGGGTTTACGTCTTTTGTACATCATCCTTCAGGAGAGCGGCCGAGAAAAGAGCTTCCGGTATTGGCCCAGACTCGGCTCGCGACACAACACAGTGACGTACGGCCGCTTCAAGATCACAACGCGGTTCCGCACGGAGTCCGGCTGCTACGCCACCACGGGGCTGAAGATCAAACACCTCCTGACGGGCCAGGAGAGAACGGTCTGGCACCTGCAGTACATAGACTGGCCGGACCACGGGTGCCCTGAGGACTTGAAAGGCTTCCTGAGTAAGTGGGATCTGTTTTTAAGGTCATCAGATATCAACCTGGAAGACTGAAAATAGGACTTTTTTGAAGGAAATTAAGATGACTAAGGAAGATGAACCCTTGAGATTGAAAAGAACATTTAAATGTTCCAAAGCTCGTTGGCAACACTGCTGTATTAAATTATCGTGAGTGTTCTTGTCTTTTTTTCCAGCCTACCTGGAGGAGATCCAGTCTGTGAGGAGACACACAAACAGCATCAGTGACCCAAAGAACACCAACCTACCGGTGCTGGTCCACTGCAGCGCTGGAGTGGGACGGACTGGTGTGGTCATCCTGTCTGAGATCATGATAGCCTGTCTGGAGCACAATGAGGTAACTTCCTCACTTCAAATAACACCTGTGCACTACAGCTTTTTTTTTTTTTAGGACCTCATGTGGTGTGTATTTTCTTTGCCATCTCTGTGTATTAAGATGAAACACTGCTGCCTCTCTCTCATACTAAAAGTCTGGTCTGGTTTTCAGGTGCTGGATGTCCCCAAATACCTGTTAAACCTGCGTCGTCAGAGGATGATAATGGTTCAGACCTTGTCTCAGTACACCTTCATCTACAAAGTCATCATCCAGTACCTGCGCAACTCCAGGCTCATATGAGCACAAGTGTCTGTCAGTGGTCACAGGTGACGGGGTGGAGTTGGAGCCCGATTTATACCAAACTGCACTGCGATGATGCAGCCGTACGATTCTAGTCACTGCAGCAGTCAGTGTTTTGGTGGACCCCGTAAAGGGGCAAGTATTAAACCAGGCGAGGCTGAAAGATGTGTGGAAGTACAAGGAAGAAGCATGACCTGCCGCTAAACAGTATTATATATATTATTTTTACATACATTATTGCTTAATAAAGCCCAGCACTTTTACAGTACTTTGCTGTACATAATGAACCAATGATGCTGCATTTAAAGAGAATCGTTATTCTAGATGTGTATCAAAAACAGTTTCATTTGACAAAGGTCGCTTTTTTTTTTTAATAAGTATGTTTTTGATTGCTGTTTGGTAACTATAGGTTCTGATAATGAAGGACGTTTCTGCAGTAGTGAAGACAGAGTGGCTAAAGGCTTCAGATGGGTTTTAACTTTATCATGTGGTGGTACAGGCAGGGGTTTGTCCCTGCAGTGAACTTAATAACAATATATAGATTTACATTCAACAGAATGATGCTAATGTACACCATACACGAGCAATCTTCATGTTCATGAAGCCCTGGAACCCACCGAACATTATCTACAACAGATGTGTTCTCTGTCCAGAAAGACGGTGGGAGACGATGGATTGGTCTTTGTTAAACACTGGATTGATGCGAAGTAGAAAAACATTGCACAGGTTCCAGAAATATAGAGTTGACGAATGAAGAAAAAGAACGACGGCGGTTTTTGTGTAAAACTGGAATTTTTATACTCTATTTTTCATCCCTTTTTTTATCACGAGAACAGAGTGCTGTAAGTGAACAAAATCAATATATTTTGTCAAGACAAAGTGCCGATATATATCTACCCTGTACATCTGCATAGTATGAAGGATGTGTCCTTTAATGCTTGTTTGATTGCAGTGAAGTGTTTATTATTGCCAATTGATACATTTAAGAAACATCCATGCAAGAAGTACAAGTACTGCGAACAAAAATGATCATTCTTGAATTAGGCTTAGATCCCTTAAGTTTTTGGCAGTTGGGCCTTTGTGTCATTAAGTACATAAAAACAAGGACGTGAGGCCGTTTGACACTATTGAGGTGTAATGAACAGTGCTGTGCAGCGTGTTGGCTTTGGTGCACAGTAGACGTCTACGGGACAGACCAGTGCTAGCATCAGTATTCTGTCTGCTACACTTGTTTTCACTCCAGAGAGACGTGTCCATGTGCAGACACTTCCTGCTGACTCTTATTGAACACTTTCCTTTCCCGCTGCAGCTAAAGGGAATATTTTCAGAGCCCCAGTTGTGAAGTTGACCCGTAACGGAACGAGGCTTGCAGGCACGGCAAAGTTTACATGAAGTCAAATACATATTTTAACAATGTCAATTTGAAATAATTTGCCTGTATTATCAATTAAAAGGCAGCAACTTAATTTATAATGTGGCCAAAGTGAAGCGGTTGTTGATCCCTCAGTGTCCCGATGTGTGCGTTGGTGTCACATGCGTGGGCAGTGATCTGACTTAACTGGAGAGAAATGCGTCTCCACTGATGAGATGCGTTTGGACTGGATCTTAAGGTCCGCCCCGTATGAATTAGCTTCAGGTTTTGTGTTTTAGCATACTGATTGAGTCTTAGTGTGGAGACTTAGAGTGATTTGTGTGGCCACGGTGTAACAGTTTTGTCCATGTACAGGTATGTTGTTCATAATGTACACAATGTAAAAATCTTCTTTTATGAATATTGGATAATGTACAAACGATGTATAAACTTGTATCTATTGAACACAAAATGATATGCCATGGGGAAGTGTAGAACATCTTTTCAGCAAATAAATATTTGGAAATATCATTTTGTTTCTGTTTCCGTTAAAGATAACCTGTGTTCCTCTGTTTACATCAATCTATCGTGCCACCTTGTGGTAGGAAGTAGCCAGTGGTTCTCAATGGCTGGTTGCACTATTTCAGTATCTGTTACATCAACATGAGAAGGTGTTCATTTCATTGGAAGAGATCTTTATTACATTTATTCAGAGGTGAAAAGGGATCACGGCTGGTACAGAATCTTCAAGGAAATGAGGTGTAAGATTATATTTTTTTAGTCTGAAATGTAAAATACAGATTTGAAACTTCTTGGCATCCTCAGCTCCAGGGTTTCACACCGACGGCTCTTTAGTCTTTTCTACGTTCGCCTTTAACTTCAACTACATAATCTTAAAAAGGCAAAAATGTTCATGGTAAACTTGTTTTATGCTGAAAAGAAATGTAGTGTTTTTGTTCCTTCGACTTCAGTGAAAAAAACAAACCGTCTCAAATCCATACTGCAAACTAATTGTACAAAGTATACACTCATCTACCAGTTAGCATTTGTTCCAACATTTGAAAGAATTTTAGTTCTCCAGTTGTGAGCAGCTCCTCAATTGTGGTAGAGCCTCAACATACTCAAAAGTCAAGGTTTCTTTTGTTCCCATACTGAGTTTTAAGTACCGACATGTAGTCACTTTTACAGAGTGAACAGAATACATACTCAAACCCTCTTCAGAATCAGTATGTAGTATGATTATAGACAGTAGTATGGTGATGTTGGATCATTTGTTGTACAAAAAAGTACTTTCAATGAGTGGTATTTCTTTCGACTTAACACTGATGAGAAAATGAAAAAAGAAAAATAAAACTGATAATAAAAAATAGAATTATAAATAATCTAAAATCAAGATGTTTTACAGTCAGTACATTAAAAAGTAATTGAGTTCATGTTCATTACACTTGGATGACTTAAAAAAACAAAACACACGATCAATCAGTAGAAATTAATACTGGTACCTCCCTCTCTTTCCACCATGTCCTCCATGGTTCCATCCACCACCTCCTCCTCCTCTTCCTCCTCTTGCACTACCACCACCACCCCCCCATCCACCACCACCACCCCCCCATCCACCACCACCACCTCTTCCCCTACCTCCTCCCGAGCCACCCCCTCTTCCTCCATCTTGTCTTTTTTGCCAGGGTGGCATCTCAGGAGGCGGGGCTTGTATCTCTGAGGGACGTCCTCCTCTGTCTGGGACTCTCCCCATCAGGATCTGTGGATAAGAGAGAAGACGAGAGATGATGTTTCGTCAAAAATAAAAGCACCAGACATCAGCCATTCATTTGGAAAGAGGGAAAGGTTATTCTATACCTTGTTGACAGCACAAGCTGTCTTCTCCCTGCTGGAGCCGCTGCTGGTCTTCACCACGTTGCAGATGTCTTCTCTGGCCGCCAGCAGCTCAGCCATACCCACTGTGGACTGTGGCCTCAGAGAGTGCCTCCTTGGCTGATAGGCCTTGGCCATGCTGTCCACCTTTACCTGACAAACCACAAGATAAAATCAGCTTCTTCTCACATAATTGTCATCGGTTTAGACTCCTCTGTGATGGAGAAGGAGTGCAAAACAGTGTGATTGTTATATAAACGTGCCTTGGCTCTGTCTGACCACCCGAATGACTGAACTGTGACATCCAGCCGTTTGATCAGCATCCTGCGCCGACACTCGTACTCTGAAGACAGAGCTGTGTTTATGTTGTGCAACTTCTCCTGCAGAGATAAAAAAGAAGAAGAGACAAATGAGTTAAATTAAAAAGGCACTTCATATGACGTGGTTTGTTTAGATGCTCATCTACTTACCCATTGTTCACTGCATAAAGATTTCTTTAGCAATGGGTTTCCAATGGAGCTATTTGGAAGATCTTTAAGTACTTCTTCCACCTACAATCACACACACAATGCTTTTAATGCATTACCGCAATACAAAAAGGAAAAACAATGCAGCGATCTAAAATAGCACAGTACAACACAACAGGTGCGACTCAATGCGTGCCTCCAAGACGAATGCATTTGACATTTAATTGAGCCTTTGCTTAAGTAGGGACAGAATCAAAAGGAAGGTCCCTCATAGAGTCACAGTTGCTGCCCCAAAAACACATCCCTTTCAATGTTGGTGGTCCAGATATAAATGTACTTAAACAGCATTAAATAGTCCCACCTTGTGTTGGACTTGAGATAAAACTCCAGCTGCGTCCTGTCCTCTGGGCTCTGGTAGGTCCAGGGTTTCACAGATTGCCAGGAGTTCCTGATGCACCGGACTCTCTTCTGGTTGTTTATGAGCGAGTCCTCTGCTCATCACGATCTGCGCTGCCTGGAGCTCAGAGGTCAGGAACACTTCACGAGAAACACAACACCATATCCTTAAATAACTCACTGACCACACAGAGAGCTTGTAGCGCAATGCTTGAAATAAGGAGCATGATTCGATTACATACAGACACACTTGAGATGATCTTTTGCATTTCGTACAATGCCCTTAAGGATCCCTGACACGACTTCTCCATAAGGACAGTGCAACTCTTTCAGCAGACCACTCATCTCCACCTGAAGGCTGTCCATGTCGTCTGGAGATGGGGAAACAGGGTTCATGAGGGAGGAACAAAAACGCTTTGATCGTCAGAATCAGGTGTGAATGGATGTGGCTCACCTGGACCGGAAGTAATGCTCTCCTCCAGATCACACAGCGGCTTTAACTTGGATGCCAGCCACCTGCACAGGTCCACATACTCAGGCGACGACAGGCCTCCCTCTGCGGCTCCGAGCAGCACCTTCTCCTCCAGCAGAGGACCGTCATAGCTACGGAAGGGGACAAGGTGGTCAAATAAGCCTCGACACCTACAGGTGTTAAATATACGTATAGCTACTGCACGACTAGCTATTGCGGCCACTCCATATTGTAGAAAGCACGCAGCCTGAGAACATTATTTTGAATGAGAGCTGAAAGCTAAACAAGTAGCGTGCTATGCTAACAGTAAATTAGCTTACCCAAGTTGCTCTAACGAGTCCAAAATGTCGCACTCCATCGCTGAATCCGTGAGGTTTTTGAGTTAGTCTACTGAAAACATGTTACGGATAAAACTATGTCAACATCTACAGATTTTGCCCCTACTCATTTCCGCGCACTCTCACGCCTCCTTACTGTTCCGGTCGCGTATGTGAGCCGGAGTGAAACGTGCGATGTTGAATCTATGGTTCCGCTACAGTACTCGGTAAATACTTCTGTACCACAAAAGAAACCGGCCCTTTAAAAGTCAGATTACAGCTATAAAATGTATTCTAAAAGAGCAGTAAGTAACTGTAAAGGATAGCTCTATTCAGTTTTAAATTAACAAAAAATGCAATTGGACATGCGTCTTCAAATGTGTGAGATGAATGCTGTCAACGCTGCTGAAATAGGTTGGGAACATTCTCTAAAATCCTCATGTCTTAAATGCATTGTTCTTGGCGAGATACAATTAGTTTGGGAAAGGTTAAAATTTGAGATTTTTACCAGACATAAGCTGCATTTTATGATCCCATCGCATTTTGAATGTAAAATATGAATATGCAAAGTAACAAGTACAGTTATGTTAAATGTAGTGCACTAAAAAAAATACATTATTGTCCTGTTGAATGTAGTGGAGTAAAGGCATAAACTCAGGAATTGTAGTTGTTGTAAATACTTGTTTTAGTTTTCATTCATGTTCCCTGACAGTTAAGAGTTAATTTACACCACATAACACACTATCTCTTGTTCAGTAATATGAGGATAAGAAGTGCTGTTGAAAGATGTGTTACAACCCAGATCAAAGGCTGCAACATGAATAAGAGACCAGACGAGTTAAGTGATAAACACATATTTAAAGAATACATAAACTTAACTAAACAAACATGGAGTCGGTAATCAGTAATATCAGCATGTGCGGATGTGTGAAAATGTCTGAAACAAACTAAACAGCAGCTGTGTCAGCCAAGGAAGAGCTGATATCCCTGTTCAGGAGTCTTCATAGCTGGAACTCCCACCAGGCTCAGGTGTGGCTCATCAGCTGACGAGCAACAACCTGAAAGACAAATTAGAGCCAGCAAACAGGACACAGACCTGAAACTATTAATTATTTTCATTATCAATTCATTTTTTTCCCTGTTTAATCATTACAGAGAAAAAAAAAGCCTGTCACAATTTCCTAGAGCCCAAGATGTCATTTTCAAACGTCTTGTTCTGCCCGACCATCAGTCCAAAACTCTAACATATCTAGTATACAACGACATAAAACAGATGATCAGCATATTATCACATTTGAGGAGCTGGAACCAACGAATGTTTGGCATTTTTGACTTAAACCCACACGATAATTGATTATCGGGCATTTTTTTTTTTACAAATTGTTTCAGCTCCACTTTTGACATTTCTGGTCAAATGTATCCGTCTGGCTTTTACACACAAAGGGTCCATCTTTGAAATGCAGATGTAGAATTTACTGGAGATTTTAGTCTGGAGCAGTTGAACTTCTAGTATTTATAAAGCAGGAAGAAGGTTATTCAAATGTGCTCCTACTCACAGAACACTCGAGCATGAGCACTCGGTTTGTCTTCACTATGCAACACTTATATTTGTTCTTTTTACACTAAAGGAATGAAAGAAACAATGAAGCATACACAGCAAAAGATTAAAACTCACCATTTTATTATGATAATGTTATTTGATATGTCAAATTACAAGTGTATGATGTAACATAAAAACAGTTACAAACATATGTATGCATATTTACATTATATATTTATGAAAAGTAACGAGCTACATCTGTATAAAGAAAATACAACTATGACATGAGTTATTGGGACTATAAATCATATACTTGGTATTCTCGAACCATGAGAAGAAATACCTAGACGTGTAGGAACCAATAGAACCAGGACGAGAGATGTTAAATTATAAAAAATGGAAACTAGGATGGACGTGAGGCACTTTTTTGAGGTTGTCAGGATGTGAAAGCCGATGGCACTAAGAAACTTCAAGGGGGGAAAAAAAAAAAAAATAGATGCACAGGAAAGAAATATGCACAGAGAGAGAGAAATAAAGGAAAAAAGAAAGGAAAACAGGCAGTGTTTACAGAATAGTTAATAGTACCATTTATACTGCAAGTTTCAAAACACAAATGTCTTCCACTATTTAGAACTAATCACATAAATGTTACATCAAGCGCTGTAAGATGAAAAAAAAAAATAATTACGTATAGTATCAGTGCACCAAAGCATTGGAGAATTGAAACATAACCACTCAACTGCTGTGAAAAGTAACCTTTTAAAACAATACACTGAAGAGAAACAGGTTTATATAGCTTTCTTTCTTTTTTAATCTACACAATGTCAATAATGTACACTTGTATGCATTCCCAAAGATATGCACAATTTCCAAGATTGAAAGAGGAGAAAAAGACTAGCAGCAAAGTGGTTAAAACTGAAGTCTTATATAATGCAGGTCAAAAAATATATATATATATTAAAGCAGACAGACACATGTTGCATATATATAATACAGTACATGACAGGAAGTTGCACTGTGCTGGTTAATGCAGAATGAGAAGTGTTATTTCAGCATTCTCTACACTTTGTATAAATGCACGTCCTACATTTTGCTTCTCAGCCAGCAAGTTTTAAATCAGGTTCATCAAACCTTGGTTCAGCTTGCAAAAAAAAATTAAAAAAAAAAATGCAGGGCAATCCAATTACAATGGGAGAATATGACAACCAACCAAACATTTGGTTACACACCAACCCCGCACGCACACACACTCCTTCACACACACGTTCTCTCTCGCTCACGGGCACACAAGAACACACATGTATAGTAACACTCGTGCACCTACACAAGTGTCCACTTCATCAAGCAGAGCAATCAAACATTTAAAAACTCACTGTCATGGTTATATGCTGTTGGAGAATTAGGGTTTAACAGTCGTTCATAGCTGATTTTCTCTGTCAACACAATAAAATTAGTGATTGTATCTAGCAGCTTTATATGTACATATGTATATATACATATATACGTACATATATATGTGTGTGTATATATATATAGTACATATACACGTATGTATACATGTATACATATACAAACGTATGTATACGTGTATATATATATACACAAACGTATGTATGTATATATATATATATATATATATCAAACTTTTGAAACAAGTGGACTGCCACTACTGTACCGTGTTATACAGGCACCATCCTTCCTTCTACCATACAGAACTAGAGAGAAACTCTTATTAGAAGCTCAATAGTAGTTTCCATCACAAACGCCCTCTACTTTTCAATGTGAAATAATACTAAAAGGTGACCTATGTACATAATGCTGTCAATTGAAGCTACAGTATATGCTGACAGCAACGATAAATACATCTCTATCTTTAAAATTCCAAAGACGAAAAAAAAATTAAAAAAAAAGCTGGGATTATTATCAGAACTTAAATATAGTGTTAGGTATTTACAGGTCGTTTGGAGTTTGGTACCAGGGGGGGTTTGGGCGGTAAAGTGTCCTGTCCCGCCACTGACTCAGTCTGCAGAGAGGTCAATGTGTTTCCCACTTTAGAAAGTTTGCATAGAAAGTAAAGGGAGCGTTGGTTGGGGTGGAGTTAGTGTAATCCAGTCTTGTCGTGACCGAGGTGCCACTGCATTATTTTTTTTAAATCAGGAGTGACGGGAGGTGAGAGGAGATGCATATCTGTTACGGTGAATCACAATTTCAAAACATGCCAATGCCTTCGTTTGGGATCATTTCGTCGGTTATTGCAGCTAGACGTCCAAACTGAACTGGTGTCACTGTTGGGAGTTAGTTGTTGTTCAGACTAGTTTAAAGTCAACAATGGTTTTAGGGAGAAAGACGTTACATTTTAAATTGTTCTACTCGTGTTGGAGGGAATATTCAAACACAACTAGTGTCCCTGTTACCCCAAAAGATCTGAAGAGTAGTTTGACGTTCGGCAATTATGCTTATTTGGTCTCTTGTTGAGAGTTAACTGAGAAGAAGATTGATATCAATCTCATATCTAGCTGATAAATATGGAACTAGAGCCAGCAGCTGCTTAGCTTAGCATAAAGACTGGAAACAGGGAAATAGTCCCACACATGACCCCCCCCCCCCCTTAAAACCACAAATTGTCATTTTACTTCACAAATGAGATGTAACATGTTAATCAGTGAACGTTACAGGTGCTGGTAGGCAGAGTAGTTACATTTGGACAGAGCCAGGCTAGCCGCCCTTTCAAGTGTTTATGCTAAGCTAAGTGGCTGCTAGCTTCAGCGTTACAGACGGACACGTCGGTGTAACCGATCTTCCAATCTAACCTTCGGCAAGAAAGCAAATAAGTGAATTCCCAGTTTGATTTGATGCTTCGCGGGGAAACGAGACGCTGTTACAAGTGAAAGCCTTAATCACAGTCAGTGGGGACGTTACATGACACTGGATCAACAGTGCATATGAAGACCTATGCACGCACACACACACACACACACACTCACTCATACACACACACATCCACATACATAACACCTGTATGTTCTTTTTTAATAGCTAAGATGCTCAGCATTCCTGAAACAATGTCATTCATTCAGGGCCTGTTAAATAAAGACTCACGGAAGCGGTGGACTTTTGAGAGACAAAGAAATACTACATTTAAACAGGATATGAGGGCAAAATTAAACAAAACATAAAGAAAGAAACGGATTCACGGGACAAACATGGAAATGTGGAGAGGGTGCTGCAACCAAAGCTTGGAGAGCAGTACTTTCAGGAGGGGTTTCCCCCCCCCCCCCAATACCAAATTGAATGATAACATTAGAATAATTTATGTACAGACTCATTTTAAAATCTGAAGGATTCTCGGTAAAAAGAATGACCTAATTTAAGTGCCTCATCATTTAACCCAGGAGCACTGAAACCCCTTTTTACTCACCGAAACAAAACTTGCTGGTTGAGCAACATTTCAGCTTTTGTTCCACAAATAATTATAAAAATGAGCAGGAAAACAACAAATAAGAAACAAAAAACATCAATTTCACTACAGCAGTAAATAACTGGACTAAAACTGAAATCCACTGGAGTGAATGAAATTGTCATGTATCAGTTTCAATTTAAATGGTTCAAGAGGTTCTAATGCTATTTTCATGATGTGGGAAAAAAAAAAAAAAAAAACTATTTTGGGGAACTCGGCATGGTAACGTCATTACCATTGTTTCCCTTCTAATCGTGGAATCGATCCCTTTAGCTTGGAATGCAATCAAATGGTCCAAATCACCTCGGGAAAAGCAAGGTCATCATTTTGACATCTTAATGAATGTCAAAAGATATGCCGAGCAGTACCTCCAAAAACAAGCTGTTACCTTTTGATTCTTTTTTCAGCATTCCATGGAAAGGAAAACAAGGAATTGGCCATTCACCCGCCACAGAATCATCTCTCAAATGTTAAAATGGTTGTTAATTTACCGCAAGAACTTTAGAGGGCTACCTTTACTCGGGGTTGGGGGATACCATTTCTAGTGCACTTTTCTCTGTCTAGTAATTACATTGTCATCAAATGCTTAAGCCGTGAAGGAAAGGCCACTGTTACCCAACTGTAAATTCACAAAAAAGCAAGAACATATCCCTTTTAGCATACTCAAACAGCAAGTATTTTTTCTGAACGCAGAATAGTTTTGTTTTCTTTTTTTGTCATTAAGTTGTCGCTCTCTGTACAAAAGACAAATTTCCTTCATAAAGTTACACGTTTTTCGCAGTAGAGTTCTGACATTTGTGGCCTGGCTTTGTCAATGCATGAGTGTGAATGTGAGAGAGAGGGGTGTGTGTGTGTGTGTGTGTGTATACACAGGTGTGTTTAGTAACATCTCCAAGTCTATTAATCTTGACGCTGCCTCCTCTTAATCTCCTCAGATTAAGCTCCTGAACGTAGCTTGATGCTCAGAGCTCCCACAAAGCATATGGTTTGTCCCTCCACTGCTGCTTGTCGGCGACAAACACAAACTGAAATCTCCAAAAGCCCTCAGAGCTGGGGATCAACAACATATCACCCCGTCTGAGAGGGGAATGAAAAAAGGATGCCGGCTTTTAATTTTCCGCTTTTATCCACTTCCTGTGTTAGCTAAGCTTTGAGGGTGTCCCAGAGTCCGTCGTCAGGTCACCCCGCGGCCTTGTGCTTGCCCCCGCAGCAGCGGCAGGCCTCGCCACAGTGGTGGCAGGCGCGCAGAGGCAGGTAGCAGCACATGCAGGGCGCGATGAAGGACAGCGCCACCAGGGCCAGCCAGCGCAGGCAGAACTGCTCGTCGGACGTGTCGCACGAGCAGGGGTCCGAGAAGTCGCCCTCGGAGTCGGACATGCAGTGGTACAGCATGCTCTCGGCGCACAGCATGCAGCTGACTTTGTAGATGCACTGCTTGATCGGGTCGGGGGCGTCTTGGCACTGCCCCCGCCAGTTGTCTTCATGGTTGAACATCTCCCGACAGTAGATGCAGCGCGAGCGCTCGCCGTCCTCTCGCCGCCGCCGGCCCTTCTTGTGCAGGGGCGAGGGCTGAGTCTTGATGGCCGTGTCCTTGCCCAGACCCAGCCCCATACCTGTTCCAATGCCCATGCCGGGGCCAGAGTGGGAGTTCCCACAGGGGCCGTCGGGGAAGAGGTACTCGCACTTCTTACTGTCCAGTTTGTGGAAGGCGTTGGGGAAGTCCAGGTCCTCGCGGTCGGCCTCCTGTTTCCACATGATAGGGTGGCGGTAGTCCCCATAGCCGTGGATGAGCAGGTCTTTGCGAGGGTTGATGCGAACGATCTCGTCTTCCTCCATGTGAAAACTGACATGACGAGTCGACTTAAAGGAGACCTTGACAGAAATTGAGAATTAGTTGGATTACTGAAAGACAATTAAATGACCTGTTGTAACTAAATACAATTAAACACTTCACTCGTTGCATTTTATCTCACGAGCGTGTAATTCAAACTTTTGGAGATTGGATTGGTTGTGTGGAGGAGGGGCGGACCTGTGGAGGCAGGTAGCGGCGGTTGCTGGAAGGGAACTCGTCGAAGGGTTGGGCGCGGACGTAGCAGCCCCTGAACGGCTCGGTGGAGACGATGTTGTTCAGCTGAGAGAAGGACTCTTTCATTGGGGTACAGATCGAGGGAGGCTCATCACACACCTGGAGACCAAAACAAATCTAGTCAGTCAAGAAAAACTCTAATACATGTTACATTTCCCCTCTGAGGGACACGCATCCAAGAGACTAAAAAAAACATCTGACATGATTCACCAATGAATTAGTTATATGACTTAAGTATTGGTTGATGCCCATAACATCTATGGTTCTCACAGTCCATCGTTGCTCGATCCATTCAGTTCTTGACAACAACCGTTTTGACTTTGGATGTGTAGGCTGTGTGTGTGTGTGTGTGTGTGTGTGTGTGTGTGTGTTCCACTTGTAACCACCAGGGGGCATCCCGTGCCCACGCTTGGCCAAAGGACTGTGCTGTGTGGCGATGACTCAAGGGCCTTCTGTTAAGAACTCAGAGTTCTCATCAGCCTTGCATGTGTTCCCACAAACATTTTAACTGATGCAAAAAAAAAAAATCTACAAACACACTTGGGAAAAAAAAAAAATGCAAATTAAAAAGAGAGAGAGAAGCGTTGGAAACCGTGTGAGGCCGAGCGAACATGCCTCCTTCCTCACGCCAAACAATCTCATAATTACAAGAGGTAAGCTCACTGTTGACACCAATCAGGAGGTGTCTATAAATAACATCTTGTGAATGCCACTGTCGGCATCGGACACATTTGAACATATAAACAGAAAAAAAACGTGTTTCTAGAATTAAAATAAATAGTTATCGGTCCAATCGAAGTGGTACAATACTTCAATACTCATGGCAACAACATCAAAAGTGATGGCTATTCATGATTCATGCGTGCAGAGGTGATGAGAGCTGGGGGAGGATCGTCAGCTATTACATCAAGAGCTGTGTGATGATATTTCATGTCCAGCGTTATCTCAGCAGAACCATTTTGTGTAATTAGGGATTAAATTCAAAACTTCAGTTATACTTTTCTTTCTCAATACAGCCTCTACAGATAAACTGTCTGAGCATGATCCAAATAAACTGCAAAATAAAAAGGGTCTTCAAGGTTATATCACTCAGAAATAGACAAACGTGGACACAGTCCGAGGCATCTTTACACGTACGGGTTTCGATCCGAACCACATTCAAAGCCTTGTACACACTGGCTAGCTGTCCCTCTTTTCCCACACACACACCCCGACCTCATCAAGGCAGGGTTAGTCCTCCTCTCTTCTCCTTCACCCACCCTCCCTCTCTCCCTCTCTCTGCTCTGCGTGTGGAGGAGGCTGCTGGCTCTGGTTAGTCAGTGCCGTGTGTAAAGTAGCCCACGCCAGTGCTTTAACGCACAGCGGAAATCTGGTTTGCTCCCAGCTGCTGCTACAGTAATTACTGTCCTGTGGTTGCTAAGAGATGCTTCCTTTGACTTCTTTTTTTCCCTCTCTTTCTCTTATTTTTTCCCCTCTCCCTCTCCTCCACTTGCCCCCCTCCCCCCCTTCCCTCTAGACTGCTAACACATGGTGTGTATGTGTGTGACTTTGCTCCCTCTTTTGCCTCCAAACATACCGAGTGGTGTAACGCACATCCACAGCGTCTGCAGGGGAATGTGAGGAATAGGAGACAGTGGAGGGAGAGAAGAGAAAGAACAGAACAGGAAAAAATGACTTTGTGTTGTTTTCATGTGTATGTGTGTGTGTGTGTGTGTGTGTGTGTGTGAGAGAAAGAGAGCGAGAGGCCAAAGAGTCTGCCGAGGGAATGTCATAAACCAGCTCCAGCTGGAGAAATGCAGTACAGAACTTAAAAAGCCAGATGACAGCTGTGTGTGTATGTGAGAGAAAGAAAGGAGAGAGGGGTGGGGGGGGTGAAATGGGAAACAGACTTGGGCTTCCTTTTAAAGCGCTTGCCTAAGCCCCACCATTCAAAGGCATGCGTGGGGGCCAATCTGGAGCTGAGCTGACCCCATGGATGTGGCTGGGTGAGGGAGGAGAGGAGAGAGAGAGGAGGGGAGATGAGGGATGGAGGTGGTGGGAGCCAGGGGCAACATGGCTCCACACCAACATCAGGGATCCATGCACTTCCGCCCTCAAAGGCGCAGAGGCTCAGGACAGCGAAGGCTGGGGTCGACCCACATACCGACACAGAACATGCTAGATCTCTGCATCAGACTGAGAGAAAAGAAAAGATGATGCACATGGTCGTGAGGTTTGATCACAAAGACTAAATGCTTCACGTCTGCACATACGTTTCTCACTCTCTAAACAGAACGCTCGGCTTAAATGAGGCAAACCATGAGCGCCGCTCACCCGTCTCTTGTTCAATTACAAACAAGGAAGTACAGCAGAGTTCCAGGCTGCTCCCCGTGTATCCCTTTAACCAATGGTTCGACATTTTGGGAAATACGCTACTTAGCTTTGTTGCAGCGAGTTTCAGAAGAAGATCGATACCGCTCTGATATCTGTCCGCTAAATATGAAGCTACAGCCAGCAGTTGGTTAGCTTAGCTTAGCATTAAGTCTGAAAACGGGGAAACAGCTAGCGTGGCTCTACCCCTAACCCCCCCCCAATAAATTGTGTTGTTCTTACACTTCAGGTTTTGTACTAATGAAAACACAGTTTTGGTTACCTTAAGACAGAGCCATGCTAGCTCTTTCCCCCTGTCTCCAGTTTTTATGCTAAGCTAACCAGCTGCTGGCTGTAGAGCTTCATATTGAAGACACACATTAGAGTAGTATGAATCTTAAGCACATTTCCATGTCAAACTATTCCTTTAAAACGCAGTTCTTCCGAGCTCCGAGGTGCATTATAGAGCACGGCTGAAACCAACCCGGTCTGGAAGTTTCTGGTCTGTGAGGCTGTAAAAGTCAACTGGCCAACAAAACCTCTGTGTACTAAACTGATAAGCGAAAACTTCCGCCAGGGCTAAATTAGATGCGGATGTTTTCCTGTGGCATTCGAGAAAAAAAAAAAAAAAAAAGCAACACATTTTTCTTTGTACTAGCGGAAGGACTGTGGTGGCACAGCATAATTCCTGGCAGTGGGTCATCTCATCACAGCCGACAAGGGTGTTGTGCAACCGCGTCTTTTTAACATAGGTCAAATATGTTGCATGTGCATATAATGCGTGTGTGTGTGTTTCTGTGTGAGAGGAAGAATGTGGTACGCTTGTGAAGGGCATACAAGTGGGTGCTGAGCCTCAGTGGGCAGGATGTGGGTGGAGGAGACCGTCTTGAGCGCATGTAGATCGACACGCACGCACCACAAGCACATGCAAGGAAAAAAGGCCCGCCCGCGCGCGCACAGACACACACACACACACACGAGTCAACCGCTTTGTAGTGATGCAAGGCTATCACGAATTCCAGTAAATTCTGAGATGTTTTCAGAGATGTCTGAATCTAATCAAGGCTTGATGGTGACCTCCCATGCTGATGAGACGCTGGTGTCTCCATAAGGTCAAAACAGGGCCGATCTCTTCTAAACTATATATATATATTTTACCATGCTATACACCGTATTTCTCCTCGAGCCTGTGGGTGCTGTTGCGGAGCATTCTTTATCAGGTTACCTGTACAAACAGTGACTTTATGACGGGGTGTAAAGCAGCACACCTTGTTGTGTGCTGGTATTCGCTGGTTCTCTGGCTGCAGCCACCGGTTTACTTCTCTTCCTCTGTAGCCCAGGTCTCCGACCGCAACATTCGGATGCCAAATCACCATGGTGACACCCTCAGTGGCTCACTCACTGAACCTTGTGAACACCCCCCCCCCGCCGCCCCTTCTACCCCCCCGCTGCCTAGCAACAGTGGTGCCGTTTGGATTTCCTGTATGTTAAAGAGGAACTTTGCCCCAGGAACAGGAACGCAGCCCTCTCTCCTCCTCCCTCCTCCTCTAGTCCGCACCACGCAGGATGTAAGATACTGGGCAGGTCAAAGGTGACGACAAGCCTCTGTCAGGTGCTAAAAACTAAAGTCATGGGAGGTACAGTGTGATGTCAGGGGCATTTTCAATAAACAGTAAGTCAGCAAAAGCTAGAAACACCATGCAGTGAACCTGCAACAAATACTTGTTGAGGCTACGATTCTTGGGGTTTGTCTGTTGACTCAATTCTTTAGTACGTTCTTGGAGCTGCACAAACTACAGTGTCAAAAAGCATGACCAGAGTTGAATCAACACCTCTCTAAAACAGTGTCAACAGTCATTAATCACAGGTTTAACAAAAGGTAGCACCTATTGCAGGATTGTTGTATGTATTGGACGGCTTCTTGTGTGCATTACAAGAACTGCCCTCCCCTCCCTCCCACGTACGTGTCTTTTCACCTACTTTGCAATCAGAAGCAGAACAGGTGACTGACGTTCCTGTCACAGGCCCGATATCTTAAACAAATGAACATGGGTGTGTAAACCTGAACTATATACCTGCTGCCTTTCTCTGCTCCAGAGACATTCCTAACCACACACGTCGACAGTCAATGGAGTGCCACATGCCAGGAACAGGGAAAATATACATACAACACGTAATGCACCTTTAACAGTTCTCTCAACAGAAGAGAGGCCCGGCTCATGAAGACGCACACATCCAGTTAAAGCAGTGAAATCACAGAGCATTTTCACCAAATCTGCTTCCTCACTTGAGGGCAGTAGTTATTATCTTGGCATCAATTGTAACGAGAGTGACAGCTACCAAGTTAAGATTGATAGACACCAAGCTAAGCCTGCTCGAGCACATTCGCCGGTCAACACCCAGCTCCACCTCAGGGTCTGGCTGCCACTGGTTAAACACCTTTAAATCTCCAAGAACAGACTGTCAGACAACAAAAGGCAGGTGTCAGCGCCTGGGTGGGACCCATCAGGGCTCAAACATATGGCTCAGGTTCAAGCTATGACCTGCCTCCTGTTCAATGTGAGCGAGAGCCAAGTAATGAATCGAACTTTACAGAAATTTAACATTTTAACCGTCGATGTCCAACTCCATGACACAAAGATACTTGTTTTAATGTATTGGTGTTTTTTTTGTGAATGTGTTTGACTTTTTCGAACAAAAATATATTGTGAAAAAAATGATCACGGCCGAAATAGATTTAGCTCAACACACTCAAAGAGAGAGAGAGAGAGATAGCTGGACTCCTCGAAGTAAGCCGAGATTAACATGTTCCCATGTGCACATGAAGAACACATTCTTCACACTAAAAGTCTTCGCCAGAACCTCTCAAGCTTTGATCTCACTCACCGGTAGTCCGTCCTCAGGAATATCGCCTTCCCCAAACGGCCGACAACCTGGAAGGAAGAACCCAGAGGGGGGAAAAGGATTAGAGGCATGAAGTCATCACGTTATACACTCAAACCAAAGCAGGCCATGTTGAGAGTCAAACACACAATAAAGTATCTAACGGCACACAATCTATGCATCAGTATCGTCTATCTATGGCATATATATCTTGATCACAACCTCCTCACACCCACACGTAGCATTTTAGAGCCTGAGACAGCTAAATGTCATTCACAAATACAAGGAGCTTCACCACTAGGGGGCAAAACCTCCTGGAACACCAGTGGAAGTGTTTGCCACACTCATCCACCTCCTTGTACTGTTTGTTTCTAGGAATATGTGTATCTGTATTTATATCGTATGTATCAAAACCCCTTCCACTCTCAATGGATGACTTACACTACAAAGCATTATTTGAGTCAACAGATTTACGTGGCGGATTCTTGTGAGGCCAGAATAGGACAAGACTTCTGCTTTTCTTTGGACTGCCGCCTAATGGGGAAATGAAAGCTGCTCTGTGTCAGTGGGGCACACAGAAGTTAATGAAATATGCATGTCTCGAATAATGCAACCCCCGACCTCGGATAAAAACGCGCATGTGCCATTTCCGCCTCCAAAACACACCTCGTCTGCTGATGCTCGGAGTCGGAGCTTATGTTTCAGGTATCAGGCCGACCGTGTTACAGCTTTTCATTACCACAGGGAATGAGACTGTGGACGGTGTAACCCGAGGAAAGACACTAATGCTGCTGATATTTTTACACAAAATGCTGTTTTGTTCGAGCCTTTTCTACTAATAAAGGACATTAGAGAGCACCATTGTTTGATAGATAATATTGTTGTCCAATACTGCAGTATAATGAAAGGAAACTACCCAAAAATACGAATTAAACACTTAATCAGATTTTTTTTTAAAGGAGTTTAAGTGATGTTTTAAAGCACTGTTCTTGATCTTGTTTTCATACATTGAACTATATACCAACAATGATGCCCAGCTCTTCTTATAAATTATGTTAAACAACTAAAGTGACAAAGAAGAATGTCGATAAAAACACAATATGCCAAATAAAAACATGCGACGTGTTAGCCACACGTCTGGCTCCAAATCTGTTTTGTTATGTGGTGCAAGTTGAACAGCACTGTTAAATGAAGTTTAAAGTGAAATAGACACCATTTAAGCACGATTAGTCCTGTAAAAGCAATTGGATTAGGTCAGTATGATGTCTGTTATACCTGTGTGCACTATGATTAGGATACTATTTACTGTAATTATCACTTTGCAGGTACTGGTATAAGTATTGTCATTTAACCCAGCCTTAATAAACACTCAACACGAGTGCATGTCCAAAGAAAGCAAACCTAGAACTTGATTTTCATGATAAAAGAAAACAGTGTTGTAGAAACTTAACAGAGGAGAAGTGGTCGAGGCTACGGTTTTAGCATTGTTGCAGTAAACGGGGATTAAACCATTTCCACCGGGATGAGGGGAAACTGTTTATACCTGGGGCATCAAGAGCTTCTTTTAAAAAAAAAAAAACAACTTAAATTCACTTAATTAGGAATCACTGAAGCCTCTTTTGAAGCACTGAGTCTGGGAGGGGAACGCAGCCCATACAGAGGCCAGAAGGATTCACTTGGGGGGGGGCTTATGTTAGACCCCGGTCTGTCCATCGGTCTCTGAATCACATGGAGAAAAGGTGTTTGGTGTGTACGTGTCTGTATGCATTTCTCCACTTCAGAAGAAGGAAAAAAAAAAAAAAAAGAGGCTTCCTGCAGCACGACTCTGGCAGTGCTGGGCCGCCAAGCTGCCTGAGCCATGTGCCCGGCGTTGCCATGGCAACAGAGGACTGCAAGACTGATACACACACACACACACACACACACACACACACACACACACACACACACACACACACACACACACACACACACACACACACGTGTGAGCGCACACGCACACGCACACGCACACACACACACACAGCAGTCCAGCAGCAGAACGATGCAACAGGAATACAGAAGAACCTGCCTGCCTGAGCTGAAGAGAGGCATTACACAACAGCAGAATACAGAAGATGCCAGAAGAGAAAGGAGGGAGAGAGAGAGAGAGAGAGAGAGAGAGAGAGAGAGCACTGGGGAGACAAAACTCACCATCACCTGCTGTAGCTGACATTCACAGGAAAGAGTTGGAGCATTTACTAGCAGACAGACACTGTACAGCCTCTGGGTGAGGCGAAGGGAGTGTGTGTGTAACACACAGCGACCAAGCTATCAGAGATGTTCAACTCTCTTCCCGGAGCACGCAGGATGCTATGTTATGAGCGAACGAGGGCTTCAACTATTGTTTTCATTCAGATTATTTTCTCAATTGTTTGGTCTGTACAATTAGTGACATGTTGCTGGAGAGGCTGGAATTAATCACATCCGGGCATTTTTATCTCAAACAATTATTAATTAAGCGTCAAAATAATTGTCTGACCTCCAATACGACATTGCGTCTCCGCTCATTATTATAGCGTTATGTTTATAGCGAGCCATGACTCTTTAGAGTGATCGCCCTACAGCCCTGCAGTTGTTGCTCATGCTCACCTCCTACCTAGACTCTGTGTGGACTTGTGCCCAGGAAGTACAACATCTCAGATAAATGCTTGTGGGCAAGAGGCGACTGATGCCTCGTGGTGATAAGCCTTTTTTTACGATATGTTCTGCTGCACCTCCTCTCTGCTCCCCAGGGTTCCCAGGTCTAGAGTGTACCGGAGATTATACAGCCGGCCTCTTGTGTAACATGGGGGCCCGTGTGGCAGATTGCTGAGCTGGCGATTCTCCTGCTAATTGGGCGACTTTGCAACCTCTGGCACTGCACTGAAAAATATTGCTTATCAGGACCCAAAGGTGCTAGCTAAACTCAAACTCACTAAACTCAGCTCCACCCAAGTGCACTGGTCTAGATTAGGTTATTGTATAAATGCCACAGTGAACACAGACAAACCCTCTTTCACACTAGACTAGTCAGTCCTCACACTTGAGCAACACAAAAGCCCAACCAGGTCAAGTTTCTTCTGACTGAAGCTCCGCCCCCATCTCAGGTTGCCACCCATTCTTTGCATCCCAACTCCTGCCCCCCTTCTTTCTTACCAAAGCCCCCCCCCCCCAACGTGTTGCCGTGCCAGTCTCAACAGGAAGTGGAGAGTTTATCTGGGCAGCTGGCACAAGATAACGCAGGAGGGGTCATGCTTGGGTGAGTGAGCAGGTAGTGTGTGTGTGTGGGGGGGGAGCCATCAATGCTAATCAACGCCGTGCATCTCGCCTAGAACAGATGCTAGGTCAGCCATTACAAGCCAGTGGCAAAGAGGCAGGAATACAGGACGCATACCATGTTCATACACATACGCCGGTATCATTTCACACGTACGGGATGGCTGCCAACACACACAGTGTAGTGCAACCTCTGAAGGCGAATTCCAAACAAACCTTGTGTTTTGTTCTTGAGCTCCACCAAGCTAACACGACATGCTAACACACACACACACCTTGGTTGATGTCCTCAATGGCCCGACGTATGCCCCGGTCAAAGGCACGGGCGTCAGCAGGGCTCTGGAAAGTCAGTCCGAACTTCTTGTCGTTGATCCTCCAGTGGTGGAAGATGGGGTTGACTTTGTTGTATACTAGGCCTTTCTGCAGGACACACTCCAGCACCACCTGTCAACACACACACACACACACACAGAGTTTGGGGAGTGAAACAATGCATATTAGCACTCACTGGCATAGCATTTATATCTGGTCAAGCTCAATTAGAATGGCAGACTGGCAGCTGCATCATTTAATTAAAAAGGTTAATGATGAAACTTACAGGGGTACGCACACGTGTAAATCCTTCATCTTACTCCTCACCTCAAGTTGTTTTAATGTGCCACATTCAATCATTCCACAGCAACATGAGTAAAGGAATACACACAGAGAGACACACAGAGAGAGGCCTGAAATCTGGAACTACACATAACTCCAGATTTTATAAACTAGAAAACAAAGAAGAAGAAAAATCACTTCACATACTTCTTTGGAATTTGTAAAACACATTCTAAATGGTGGGGTTTTCATTACAGATGATGATAAAGTTGGAGAGCAGTGGTGGTGGCGCATGAAGGGGTGGGGGCGAGTATGTTTTGGAGCCAGGCAGCCCAAGTGTTTCCAAAGCCTATTATTAATCAGGGCTACTGGGCCGCCTCCCGGCCTTCCTCTAGGCAGATTAAATAAAATGAGAGACGGCCATTACAGTCTTTGAGGTTTTTTTAACCGACGTGCACGAGAGGTGGCTTAATGGGGTGAGAATGTGTGAGCGTGCGCATTTGGTGATCTGCGTGAGAGAATGCGTGAGCGCAGGAGCTGGTGTGATGAAAAGCTCAATGACTCAATAAGTGCTACATGGTGCATCTTTGCAGTGCGAAGAGAGTACCGGCCCACAAACCGACACTGGTCTGGTGAAAGCAGATGGCACCGCTCCCCGTCAATCTGGACAACAGTCAACATGCACGCTTTTTAAGAGGTTGATACACGGCAGCTGTACGAGAGGTCGGCGATATGCGATATGTGTGTCAGAGAGGGTGCACACAGGTCTACATTTCACTCCGAATGTCTGAGCGACAGACGCGTTTCATACTCGTTGATCCGGTCGCAAGTGTACCGCAACATATTCTTTCTGCTCACAATATCTGTCCTCGTGCCACTGTTGCATATTATGCGTACATGCGGGGGCAAAGGTTAAGCCTGTTTGTTTATCCAGAGCCAGTGGATGAGGGGAGGAAAGAAGAGAGGGATGGATGTGAAGAGGATGGGGCGGCGGGGGGGGCCTCTGGGGCCGATTGTGGAGGCGAGACTGAATGGAGCCGTAGCAGGTAAGGTGAGCGCACAGCGAGGCCGACCGAGGAAGAAGTATCACGGTTGCATGGAAGGACGATACTTAACACCGCATTCCACACTGTGCTCGGGAGAAAAGAGGAGGAGGCGGCGGAGCCAGCCCGACAGCCACGGAACAGAGGCCCAGAGACGTTAGAGGAGAGAGGAGAGGGAGAGGGACGGAGACAGACGGAGGTGAGACGTGCAGAGAGTAGCGAAGAGATAGCGTGAGAGCGGAAATGGGGGAGGAGGGGGGGGGGGATAGCGAGAGACTACGTTTACATGCAGACAAGAAACCAGGCGGGAGGAATCAGGCTACAATCTATGAACACCGCCTCTGCCATCAGAATTGTAATCATCAGTTTCAGGACATCTCAATGACGATGCTCGACATCAGAAGGAGATTTATATAATCTTCTTGGATTAAAATATAGTCCGCCCGAGAGTTCTGGCTAATAAAGCATCTTTTGCTGGCAAAGATCAAAGTCAAACAATCACATGACAAGGTTAACAGGAGAAAACACACAACTGTATCGAGTGGGGGCCCTTGACACCACCTTCACATCTCGATCAACCAGGGGAGGAAGCGAGGTGAGAGGTTAACCGGAGATTTGTCATAACGCGAGAGTCAGAATGGTAAGTAATCTTCAACCAAGAGAGTCAGAGAGAGAGAGAGACAGAGACAGAGAGAGTGAGAGAGAGAGAGCTATATGGAGAGCCAGCTGAGTCATCACCAGCACACACTGTGCCGCATCACTGCGCTTATAGACAGATCCCCTCAACCTCTTCCGTCTCCTGTCTCTCTGGCTCCACCTCTGCTTCCTGCTCTTTGACTACACACATCTCATTCCCCGATTCCTCTCATATCTCATGCAGCCCCAGTCACTTTCATTTCCAGCAGCCAGAATCGTGCCTTTGTGATTTCAAAAATAACTGCATCTCAGATCTGTTATTCCCTCCATCTAGCTGAGGTTCCTATCAAGGGATGTGACATGTCGTTGAGCTTTCCTATTCTGTCCATTTCTGGCTGAATTAAAAAAAAAAAAAAACACTGAAATTATATCACAAACAGGAAACAGCATTTTTTTTTTCTTTTCCATGTTTTAGACATAACAAATCAAGCCAAACAACGTGACAAACATTCAGACACTCTTCCCTCTGGTTTCCCTCTTTTCAACACAAAGATGGTCTTTCATTTACCTCTGAAATCATAACACTGACATTTTAGACGATACTGTGGTAACAAGTGGCGATATTGGCCTGCGTTGTTTTTTGTTTTTTTCTGACAACGGCTAACGTATTCTTATGTGGTTTTCTCTGTCGCTGTTGTTTTTCATGGACTCATCGCTCTGCCTCTCTTCTTCTGATGCCCTCAGACTGTTGGTAGCGCTGCGGTTGACGCCAACACCGCGGCGCTGGGTGGCATCCCGACAGACCTACATATGGCTGGGTGTTTGTTGTGGTGGCTGGGGGTAGACTCTGGCGGTGATAGGGGTGTTTTTACCACATCCCAGAACAGTTGCCGGGGTTTCTGAGCCATGTCTATACCCCACGTCTGAACAACAGCATTCCCGTCACACCCTTTCCCGTGCCACACACACACACACACACACACACACACACACACACACACACACAC